CAACAACAAATCAGAAGCGAAAATATTCCGAATAAAATCCACAAAACGTCCGAAAACAGAAGCGATGGGGGGCTAAGATCATATTCCTTTAATTTTGCTTTTTCCCCTAGGACTGCCAAAGAATTGCACAATTTTTTTTGGAAGACATTCCGAAAAATCCACAAAAAGTCCGAAAACAGAAGCGATAGGGGGCTAAGATCATCATGTTCCTTTAATTTTGATTTTGTCCACAGGAATGCCACCGAATTGCTTAACTTTGTCATTCTCCCATTTATGATCACATTGTTTTCTCATTTCCAGTCGCACTCCAAACGGAACGTGATTCTCAATAAGATTGTTTAAGACAAATCCAAAAGGTGGCTTGTATTCCCTTCACAACAGTAGGCTTACTCTTGCTTCGCGGTCCTAGGGCCCCCAAAGGTAACTCCCCTCCGTGCAGCAAAAACCCTCAAGTCCCAGATCCCCCGATACATTTTGACTCAGGCACAGAGAGCATCGTTCGAGGGCCTTCAGACAGAGCAGATCGCTTGAGGTGTGAAGGCTTCTACACATGGAATGATAGGGATTCAGCGCGAAAACCAGCGAATTCGAAGGCGACCCCTCATTGCCACTGGTCTTTCACATGTATACGACGACAATCATAGTCCGAGTACTTGACTTGTTCATGTTCTGAAAATGGGGTCCAGAACATGAGATTTGGGTCTTTAGGCGGCTTGCTGTATCGCTACAATGCTACAAGGACACCACTCTTTCAGGCCAGATACCAAGCACAACTAACTAGTTCCACAGGTAGAGTTGAGGGTTTAGGTTTAGGCCAACCTAAACCCAAATCCATCCAAAAAACCCAAACCCTGAATCCTTAGCCCTCCTGAGCCCCTCAGCAGGCTTAAGGCCTCAACCCCGGGCCAGCCTGAGGTTGCATTCGGCTCCTCGCTCAAGTGCGATCGGCTTGGCGTGAGCGACCATTTGTAGAGGGGGTCGTGCACAAAGACTTCGGTAACCTTGGAAGAGATTTGGACTTCCGAAAAAGCTGCATCAGGCACAAACGTTCGCACACAGGGGGCGTCAGGGCATCGAAAAGCCCCACCACCGAGAGGACTGCTACAATTACAAAGACTGCAAGTAGGCAAGCAATCCAGATGCAGGTTCGCAGCATTACTGTTGCAACAGCCAACGCTGATTTGCTGCTGAGCTGCGGCAATGACAAGTGTGGAACTCCCGCGGAGCACCTGGCAAAGCCGAGTCTCTGGGTCTCGCGGGTCTTGAAAATGTACAGTTAAGGAATTTCGGCATTGGCTAGCCTGAGACGTTAGCTTGGGATCACGAGGTTCTCAGCTGTAGCATCCTGCACCTCCATGGTTAACTCGCAGCATCGACGGAATAGGCCGCTGCTGCCCAAGCATCCAAGACCTGAAGTTTAGCGTTTGCAGCGCAGAGGAAGGTGGGTTTTTCTCGAGACTCTGGTCAGCGGTGCTCGCTTGGGCTGAGGGGTACCCGGCCCCGTGAACCCTAGAGCCAGATTCTAACCCCGAAACCTGCAAGTACATCTCATCATTGAATGGCATTTCATTGCTACCGCTGGTAATTCCCTCGACAGTGACCATCACGTTCACGTTCGTTGCCAGCTGTTTGCGTAATCTTCTTCAGTCCGTGCATCAATATCTAGTCTCCGTCACTCCCATCTTCATAACTTTTTCGCCCCTTCCACACTGCTCTGCGCAGGCTCATAAACACCCACAGCCCTTTTGCATGAGGCTTGTTGGGTTCATGCTTCGGCTGAAGCTGTTCATGTTTACCCTCTTTCACACGCACACTACCTAGCCCAAGCTAAACTCTGACAGTCTTACACCGAAAGTCTTCAAACAAGCTGCGCGCACACCCCCCCCCCCCAAATCACGCTAGCTGCCTAAACCCTGATAGAATCTCAGGTTGGACGCAAAGCTAACACCGACAGTCGAAGCAACGGCAGGAGTCACCCTGAACCCTCCAATAGCCCAACCCTAGACCGGAAACCTTTGAAGAGAAGTCCAACGGCCTGCGACGATGTCGCGCGTCAGCCGGAAAGGCACCATCTCCGGGATCTGAAGCAGGCGCCCCGCCTGGGGCTGGACTTCGACGGTTTTGTATGGTTCTAGTTGGGCGTTAGGGCCCCGTTAGGGTTTGGAGTTTCTAGATCTACCCTAGGTTTGAAGTCTAGGGTTTACGGGCTGGGGATGTTCAGGATATGTTAGATCTCTTTCGGGTGGAACAGCAGTGCAAGAGCTACAGGCACTTGGGACAAGGTGCCGGGAATATATCACCCACATGCGGCCACAAAGTAGACTGCTTGCAAACCGGCGTGAAGCATATGCCCGGCAAAACACTTAACACATCGTCTTGACCGAACCGAAGACCCTAGAGCTGTGATGCGGAATAACCTAATATGCCAGGAAGTCGGTAAACCATCGAGCACCCCCCCGAAATGACAAGTCGACAAAACAACACTGTAACCATAGCTTTTCAACTCGCCATCAAAACGAAGAAAATTATCAAGTTTGAAGCAGCCACCCCAAAAGCCAGACCGAAGATCAAAGGAAAACCTGCTGACAGCTTCACTTTCAGGACATCATCATCACGCCAAAACAATATCTAACTCAAAACCTGCTTTTCTTTTGAATCAGTGAGGGTAAGAGAACAATGTTTACTAAAATGAGTTTACAGCCGGGTGATATGTTGTTTAGACGGCATCGCGCTAACATGGGAAATCCCATGTTGATGGCCAGCCAAGCACTGCGTAGTTTCGTGTATAGAATAACCGTCTCAATCTAACGGCTGAGGCCGAAAGACAGGCTTGCAACTCTGACGGGTTTAGCGGTCGAACCACAACAACCACAACGACGCAATGACGACATCAACAGTGCCACCCCTAGGGTTCTAAAGCCCTTCACTTGTTAAGCCGGTCAGAGTAGCTCCCTAGTTCCTGAGAAACAATAATTAGGCCAGCGCTAGGTTGGTCGACCAGAAACTCTCGAACTGGACTCTTGATATTCGGAAAGGCCCAAGCACCAACAAGCCGTGAATTGACAATATGAGCCAACAGCGCCAGAGGCGCTAAGGACCCAACACCCTTCAAAACACTGAAGGTCTTCGCTGGAGGCTACTACCTCTTTGTGTCCAAGCCCACTGGCATATAAAGCACGGAAAGCTTGCAAGGGTTCCTGAGCGTAAGGATTGCCTTTTCAGGTCCCTATCATGACCACAGGAGCTGATAATGACAAAACCATCAATCCCGAACAGCCACACAAAGCCCCAGGCCTAACATGCCTTCTGAAAGCAGCGGTGCCTCAAAAGTGATGCCAAAGTCGATGTGGATGAGTTCCCCTGTCCTGGAGGCCAAGGAGAGGCTTTGGGTCGACACGTATTGAAGTTGGAGCACATGCTGCCGAAATCTTTGACGGGGTTTAAGCGGGAGTTGTTGAGGGTTTGGCCGTGGATTGGCACGGAAGGGTAACGAAGCGGTGTTCTCGTTTAGCTGAACAGCTTGGTTTATGAGCTTCTTGGCTGACAAGCCTCGGATTCAGGCTTCCACTTCAGGTGTTCTTTGAGCTTGGTTCCGGAGGGGTCAAGGCTTAATAGCCGGAATTGGAGCTGCGGGTTTGTTCCAGCCTGAAGGCTGGCTTAGGGGTTTTGTCGCCAGTGCCTCTTGTCGAAGAGAATGTTGTTCACGTGCCGGTCGCCCAGACCAACGATGTAGCCTGCCACAGTTTCGTTTGGAGATGCAGGCCCCTCACGGAAGTCAACCTTCCAAATAATCTTCAACCACACCACGAGGAACTGTGACACGAAGACTATAGAAGCGAACTGAGTCGGCAACCCACAATGGAGCTGACAGCCGTCGATCGCGCATAGGCCCGTCGCGCCGCATGCCAGTCCTAGGTTGATCAAACAAGCTCGGAGCTTGAAGACAGAAGATTTGACGCGAGCCAGCATGTCTAAGGGTAGTTTGCAGTGAATCCTTGTTGCACCTGCATGTTACTAAACTGCTGGTAAGTCCGCAAGTCCCGAGGATCAACACAACCCGAAGTGGGGCTTCCGTGCTTCTCTGCCCGACACTGTCGCTTCAGAGAGGCTGTTGTTGTGGGTGAAGCTTAGTGCGGAGACGTTTGCGACTTGGGAACCCAACAAATATTCGGTAACCCGTAGCCGAGGCAGCCAATACACCATCACATCGCAAGCACCCAAACCACCCTGAAAATCAGACTCGGCGTCCTGAGGCGACGGGAACCTCTCCAGGAACACCAGATGCATGACCTTGGCATCCGAAAACAACATGCACATTTACGTATATAATGGGTTACTTTTCTGGAACTAGGATTTAGGGTTGTGTAACGGGACTAGGTTGAGGCTTCGTCTCAGAGTGGATTGTGATGATTGTGATTCTGACAGTGGAAACTTGCGAAACTCCATCGCCATTGTCCGTCTTTCGGGTGAAGGGGTGTAGCGCGGGACCAGGTATCAAGCATGTGTAATTACACTGTCTACCAGACCCGGATCAGGGAAGCCAAAATGGGACCCTGATCTTGTGAACTCCACGCAAGTAGGGTCACGAGGTTCGGCTCATGGATGCTTGAGAACACAAGTGGGCAGCTCAAGGGTTTCATGGGGTTTGGAAGGATCCTGCGAATAAGGAGCGTGACCGAACCTATCTGGTAAAAGGTTGAGGGTCTGGAATCAAGCGCCTTTCGGACAGGACTCGGCTGCTGCCCAAGTTCCCTCTTCTAAGAGAAACTCTTGCAATCTGCATCATCCATCATGCTAAATCCCGGCCCAGGCAGTTTAGCGCGGCATGACTTACCCGGAGCTGCAGCATGCTGGTTTCAGCATCTCTGTGAGCCGGCAGCAATCGCAAAAGCAATGTCAAGTGTGTCAAGGCGACACTCCCACCTTTTGCAGTTCAAACTGATGAAAAAGAACCGTTGAAAGTTTAAGCCAGTGGCAGGCTTGAAGTGGCGGTAGATCTCTGCGAAGGCGCGCGGCTGCGCTTGGCGGTCACCGTTCTTGGCCGCCTTGCAGGAAGCAATGTCGGGCTGGTGCACTGCAGAGCTAGTTGTGTCTTGCCTCTTGCATTGCTGAGAGGGTTTCGCCGGGGTTCTTTGTGGCCGTATTTCTTCTCGGATTATATATTTTCAGTTATTGAAGATGCTGCAGCACAAAGCTTTTTGCAAGACCTGCAGGCATGCAAAGGAAAAAGAGTACGGCAACTATGTCTTGCAAAACAAGTTTATGATATCGATTACGGCCATGTCTAGACTCGCTGTCACATCCCAGATATTGCATTGATTCATTGCTCTCGCTGATGTTCGATGAGCTTGCCTTTGCACATGCGTTCTGGGTTGCTCTGCAGGGGTTTAGGGTACGGCCAAATTGTCTCGGGTATTGGGTGTCGGCTTCAATGGCTGCAAGGCTACATGGTCGTGCTGCTTCGCTATCAGGAACGTTTCGTGGACTTCGGGCATAGGGGGCTACGCAACTGTCGGCCTGTCGGACGAGCAAAACTCGCACAATCCCACAGAGACAGCGACACCCGAAGAAAGCAAGCCAATCGTGAGATGCCAACCCCCTGGACCCTGCAGACCGTCCAACACTATGACAGCCTAAAGGCGCAAACTCACTAAGTAGCTTTCAACATGAAGCCTGCGATCGAAGCGCACACAGCCGTCGATGGTCCCCATAAACCACAACCCCTACCAGCATCCTGGAACGACCCCGCCTGGAGGGCGTCCACCATCTTCTGTCTGCACTGGTGGTGAAGCCAGTCTTCCGGCCTGTACTTCTGGTGCGCACCCTCCACAGGGCCGAAAAGGATTTCTGCGAGGGTGGTCGTGTGCTCCACCCACTCGGCGACTCCTCCGGCAAGGGTGCACTAGGGTTACACTGGGCTTGGGGTACAATTCAGGGTTGCTGGCTTCATGGCTTTAGGGCCATGCAGCATGCAGCTAGTTTGATTGGTTCTCGGAAAGTGCAGAAAGGCTGAGGCATGCAGCCATACGTGACTCCTGCGCAGGGCGAGAGCGGGATGACCTGGAATGTACGCAGCGACAGCTGGGAGTCCTGCCATTCTGTCACATCAATGCTTACGAACACTGGTGCTGCCTAGACCACGAACAGCATGCGCCAGGATGACAATTCCCCTTCTTTCGCACTGCATCTACAACGCGCGATAGAAATCTTTGGTGAACTTGTGAAGGGGTCATTCTTTCACTGCTTACATCTGGGGGGCTGCGGCGGCTCAGCGGGAGCCGTCGGCATGGGATGCCGTCATCAGGGCGCCGTTTTCGGGCGGCACTGTGGCCGTCTCTTCAGTTCCCTGCTTGTGTTCAGTGTCATAGCGGAGGCCCGCACTTTCATCCTGGCTGATGAATGCGACACACAGAAACATAACATCAACAGCGCCATACAGCCGAAACCCTTTCGCACAGCTTCCACTTCCCTCGGCAGCTCCTGAAATACATCGTTCAGCAAACGGAAGAGCTGCTGCATCACCGCGTCCTGCCTGCACGTGCAGGTGCTTCAAGAAACTTGCGCATCAGGCGAAGACTGCAATGCAACAGATGATCGATTAACAATAGCAGCAAATGAAAACAACAAACTGCAGTACAGAATCTGGACCTGTATGTTCCTTCATAAGCTGAGTTTCGCACAACTTAACCTAACAGTAAATGCAAATCCGTAATCACACCCTAAACCGCACAAACCATACACACCCTGACACCGCTAGGTTCCAAAATCTTCCGGTGCCAGCCTCAGGTCGTCCATGCCCTTGACGAGCTGCTTCAGCTCCCTGCCAGCCGAGTCGCGGACTCGTACCTGGGCTGAGCGTTCCGGGAATTGGGGTCTGGGGACGTCGGACTTCGAGTTGTTGAGCCATCAGGATCTGAATATTTCGGGTTTAGGGCATGAGGTGTTCAGGGCTTCGGGAGAAATTCCGGTGGGTTCAGGGCTGTTCGTCCCCCCTACCTAGCACGACAGCTGAAGAAACAGGTGTCCAACATGCTTGCATCCAGTACTGCTGGAAGCCTTCTATGAAGAGTCCCAAAACATGCCTAGCTTCACGCAAGGCACTGGAAAAGGCACTGTCAGCGTCCGCTCACAAACGAGCCCCTCCCTGCCAAATAGTATATACTTTTGGGATCACGGCTCGAGTGTTGGTTTCGGGTTCAGGCTTTCCGGGTTATGGGTTTCAGCAGCCACAGGTAAGCAATACCGGGTGAAGATCCAGTTATATGGATTTCAGCGATGTGTTCAGGGTTCTCAGTTTTTGGGTGTTTTTGGACACTTGAGCGTAGGGGAGATATGGCAAGCAGAAGAGTCTTTCAAAACAACATGGAACCGATTAGTTTGACGAGCCTGTTTCGACTGGTCTTTCCAACATGGCTATCGTTATCATCAATGTCATGCTTAATTACTTTCCCAATGCAATTTCATGTATCTTCTTGGCCACTACTACCTACAATGTGTTACATCTCTCGCTGTCGAGGAGCGATCCTCGGGCAGGAGACCCCTTGCGGCGCGATACTGAAGCAGTCCTTAGAAAGACCACTGCGAAGATTCAAGTGGAGGTATTTGATGTCGGGCAGCGGCCTCAGGCCCTATGTGGCCTTAAGCTGCTACATCTCCACCTTCTGAGCTAAGAAGGGTTTGGGCGTTTGGGCTTGGCATCTACGAATTTGCCGCCTGCAAAAAGAACATCCCCCTCAAAAGCCTGCAAAAAGCTCTCAGCTTGGTACCAGGAAGGTTTTGCGCAATTTCCGTCTATGCAATTCATGCTGAGTGCGCTCCGATTGCACCAAGACTTGGATACGTAGTGGTGGTGTTTCAATAATCGTCATCGTAGCGACGCTCAACAGAAGAGTAATTAACTTCAAGTAAATCTGAGCCTGACCAAGGTTTATCAAGCAATGACTCAGCCAAATTCACCCTCCCTCCCTCCACCCACCCACCCACCCACCCACGCGCACGCACGCACGCAGACAGACAGAGAGACAGAGACACAGACAGACAGACAGACAGACAGACGGACGGACGGACAGACAGACAGACCGACAGACGGACGGACGGACGGACGGACGGACGGACGGACGGACGGACGGACAGACAGACAGACAGACAGACACACACACACACACACACACTCACACACACCTGCGCACACACACACATATATATATATATACACAAACAAAAACCCCGCAAAATGCAGTAGCACTAGTGGCGGTATTGGTACTGGCAGCAGCAGCAGCAGTAGTAGTAGTCGTCATCGTCGTAGTCGTAGCCGTAGCCGTAGCCGTCGCAGTAGTAGTTAGTAGAGTAGTAGTAGTAGTAGTAGTAGTAGTAGCAGTAGTAGTCGTGGTGGTGGTGGTAGTAGTAGTAGTACTAGTGAAAGCAGCTGTAGTAGTAGTAGTAGTAGTAGTAGTAGCAGTAGTACTA